GCCCCCCCCCCCCCCCCCATGCTGGATAGGGTGCAAAGTCAAAGAGTATAACCATTATACCGAAGGATCTCACACCCTCAAATAGTTTGAATAGAGTATTTTAACGAATTTTAACGGTATTGGAACTCCTAAAGAGGTAGAGTGTAAATTTTCACCAAATGTCAGAGCGCCAATTTGCACCGACTCTGACAAAGTAAAGCAGACGAAATCTCCATGATTCAACGATCCACGCATGTGCACAAATGAACACCAAAATCCTCCTCTCTGAACGACGTAGCCCTAACAAAGTTCCTCAGTCAATATTGCTCTGCCATTTAAATCCCTCGAGAAAAGTCAAATAATATGTTGACTTTGGTTTTACTTCAGGGGCTTTAGTCTATTTTGTTCCAGCTTTGTGTTCTCACTCATGCTGCATCATTCTTGTAGCCTGTTTGTACTGACTGCCGCGTCCTCGTTCTTTACACATTTGCTCTGTGATGTAATGGTTAGGCTTTTAGCCATTGCACGCAAAAGACATAGGTCTAATCCCGCGTGGAGAGACCTATTTTATAGGGTATTGCTGCCGCTCTGCTGGATTGATGTATCCCACTCTATACGTTCTTATACTAACATATAATATATGTTCTCTCTAGATCCCACTCCTCCTGGACTGGCTCTGACAAGCTGGTCGAGGCAGCCCGCCTTCTAATCCCTAACGTGTGTCGATTGGTAGCGCGGTTTATTTACAATTAATCTGAACTTTGTTCTTTGATAAGAGCACAAAGCCTCAAACCAAACAGACCCAATAAAAAGAAAGATTTTCTCTGCTAGATGTTTTATTATGGGATCGAACACAAACGACAACATGCAAAACGTCAACAAATTAAATGATTTGTAATCCTTGCATCCCCGACATTTCTTCAACCGTTTCAAAACTCTTTGGGAAGGGCATTCTGGTCATTCAACAAATTTTGAATACGCACTGTTTTGGGGCGCGAAAAAAACCCAAAACAAAACATAACTTAAGTATAATTCGAACAGGTTTTTCAATTCTGGTAAATCTATCTGAAGTCTATATGTATGTGCACCAACATGCATGTGCAATATTGTCTTTCTGATTTTGGTATAATGGTTGGAAGTGTGCATCATGATATTGCCTTTGGTCTACTGCTGATCGGACATACGTGTCTGCTACGTACTTAAAAGAGTTAACGATGAAGGACATGTCAAGGCCTTCGCTTGCGGTACTAGGCTACTGACAGTAACCGACTGGCTTTTACGTATCATACCGTTTAATTGCAGGTCATATGTCTTTAGGAAGGCGTCATTGCATTCATCACCTGTGTGTGCGCGGATGGTGAGGAGAGGGGTTTGATGTAATACTCCGTCACACGCGTGTGCGTAGGTATAATATATTATTATAGATAGACCTGCACTGCGTGGGATGAAGTGCTCATTCCTCTCTTTGTGGATACGGTGGGAGAGACGGTAAGATAGACACGAGGTTTATATATTTGCTTCGACTTTTTTTTTCTTCTTTTTGTTGTTGTTGTTGTTTGTTTGTTTGTCATTGTAAAGGTGAAGACGAGTGGAGTTTGTTCCCACCGGCATGTGTGGTGCAATGGTTAGGCGGTTCATTGATGCAGTCAAAAGTGGTGAGTTAAGTTCAACGCCTATTCTAATAAAGCAGGCGTTGGTTCAGTTCCAGTGTGGGGAGGGGTTTTTAAAAATCTAATATCTATGTCTCGGTAGGTGGTTGGCGGGTGCTTACTTGTGGTTTGCGCCATCTTTCCCATCCAGCATCTTTCTTCCTTATCTCGTCTCTTCCATTTCTTTGCATGTCACTCTCCTGTAACACTTTCGGCACTTATATGACCTATTTAAAGTATTTGTGACAATTGTTGAGAACACTTACAGGAACAAGCAAGCATATAACCTTGTCTGTTTGCCCGCACGCTGTATCCGTCTCGACCCTGTTTAACCCTGATAAGCTGGGGTGAAGCTATAAAATATATTTTTTATAACCCGCCTTTTATAATATTATATCATCTAAATTGTTTGATGGGGACGTAAAACGTTTTCAATTACAATAGTTTGGTTCCTTGTAGCGTTAGTGTTTGTTTACTGATGTAAAGTACGTCTATGTGCTTGCCATTTTTTCTCAGTTAATATCATGTGGAGCTTTGGTGCAGATGACTTGTTCGAGTCCCTAAATGAGCCTTCTAGAACTTGGGTTGCGACGGTATAATCAGTGGCAGTGAAAATAGGGCGCTTAATATTAAGAGGAATAACCGTTTTAGAAATAGACATACTGCTTCTTGCAAGTAGTCGCACAAATGGCAGTGATCTTTCATGTAGTACGTCTTTCTATTGGGACTCTGTAAGCCCGCTTATCTGCAATGGACCTCCTACATTATAGCAGTAACAATAATGCCCGGTGCCCATAACAGAAAGTTTAGTCAAAACCGCATTTGATATACTTTGATCTGTGCGAGCTGGGTCAATCTAAACTGCTGTGGGTTCGATACATTGCAGGGATGGCGGTGGCCAGTGCACCATATACCCGGTACCCATTTGGCATCATCGGTTTGATTCAGTTTTGAGTTTGTTTTCTAGGCCACGCGTCAAGAGATCGGTTTTGCCAGTTTGTCTATTCATAGTGTGCACTGAAGCGCCATAAACCGAACAAAAACTCTTGTGGGCACCACCTATAACATTAAACTGACCTTCGCTTTACGGCATCATAAATGGCCCGGAAGTCCATTAGTAAGCCAAACAAACAAAAAAGTTCTGATCACGCAATGCCTAGCGGCCTCTTGATTGGTTGTTTCCATCAAACGTTTCTAATTGTGACCAAGAAAAGCAATCATGTTCGTTGATTTTTTGTCAAATTGTATCAAAATAATAGCTTTAGCCCCTATATGGAGGACATATTTTGTGTGTGTGTGTGTGTGTGTGAAACATCTCAAATTATGGAGAAGCATTCTATCTGTACCGGGTACAACCACAGCGACAGAGTGGCAAGAGCAGAAAAAAGCGGAAGGTAACCATAAATTGCAATACTTGAAATAACCTACTCCAGCCTAATAGCAGCCCGACCTCTCTTGTTTACTCTGTTATCGTGGGAGAATGATCGAACAGCGGGTCGGCCCTGTGGTATTTTTTGAACTTTCATAGTACTATTTTTCTAACCTACCGCGATTCTGGGCACCTGCATGACCTGATTTTACTAGTGGATTCTGTATGTAAAAATCAATTCATCTTCGAGGAGGTTGGTTGGAAAGGAGGGTAGGAGTGATATTATTATAACCAATGTGGGTTGGGTTGGTTGTTTTTTTTTCTCAATATCTTAATATATTTCATGGTCAAGACTGCTGTAGTACTGTTGAGTTATACCGACGTCAAAATAATGGTGGCGTTTTCTAATCTTGAAATGCTGAATGTTTAACATTTGCTCTTTCTTGCAACTGTATAATGGTGTATCTCATCCCCACATTCAACCTTTTCCCCTATTTCTCTTACTTTTACAATACTGGCGTGGTGCCAACGATGGCGTGACCCTATTTCCCCTATTCTTCAAACACAAGTTTTGGAGGTCGATACATGTACTGACAAAGTGAGGCTTGTACCTATT